AGTACAAATCCGGGGTGTCCAGCTCCGATAGGCGCTTTCGGGTCGGCCACTGGACTAGGGGAAGGAAAACCCTGACTTCAAACCCGGGCAGGACGGGCTCGTTACCCTTGGCTGGGAACCGTCCTAGGTGAAGGACACACCGAAGTAAAACCAACTTTATTGACTTTGATGGGAATGTCGAACAATAAAGAGATAACCTTACCGCAGCAGGGGCTTCGGACCCCCAGCTGCCGGCGCGAGGGAGTTACCGTCCCGGGCTCCCTCCCGTCGTCATCAAATGACGGGCTTTGTGGTGCTTGCCCCGCAGGGGCACCACATGAACCTGCGTCTGCGAAGACCGGCGGTTTGCCGTTTTGCGAGGGGAGTGAGTCTCCTATTCTCCGCCCCCGGAAGAACCGGAGAGTTGTCCGTGGAGACGGGGGAACCGAGACCCACGTGAGTCGTCCCTGTGGCGGCATGTGGATCTCGGACGAGTCCGAGGAGGAGGTGATGATGGCCGCTGCACATCTGGCCTCATCGTGCACGGTATCGGGGCCGGGTCCCTCGACATCTAATGCCGGGGCTCCCGTACCCGATGCCACAACCTCCCCGTTACCGCAGGATGGCTCCGAGGACGAACTCGAAGTCATCTCTGTGCGACTAGGTGGGTCTCAACGAGATCAGAAACCTACCGCTCCCCCCCCTCTCCCTCAGGAGAGGGTTCCACCTACGGGGGAGAAGAGGAAGCGAGGAAGAGGTCGCCCCGCAACAACCGGGAAGTATGTAGGACTTCGCGCGGCTCAGAAGGACTACAACGACCAGCTGGAGAGGAGGCTCGAGCTCAGAGCCGAAGAAGAACTGGCCGATGATTTGGATGCCATTCGCATGCCAACACGCGCGACGGGCCCTGCAACGGAACTCTCTTCCACACAGAGCCAATCAAAGCGGGACGAGCTTCCAAGTATCATTAATCGGGACCTCCCCACCTCCCAGATTGTCCGTCAGGCTGGGAGGTGGAGAGCCCAGATAGTCAGGATGGCTGTGACCTCCAAACGCCTCAAAGGCACGTACATTAAAGGTTTTAAGGAGGCCGCAGCCAATTTGGAGGAGGCAGTACGCGTGCTCGTTGACCGCATGGACACCAGCGAGAAGGTTCAACGACTGAGCGCGCAGAACAAGCGCATGCACGGCGAGTTAGCCGAGATGCGCGAAACGATCTCCTCCATCCGGGAAGAGAGGGACTCTGTCCAAGCGAAGATGGACAGAGTCGCAAGAGAAAACTCCAAAATGAAGGGCGAAATAGAGGCCCTTCATGAGGACTTAGAAGACCTGCGGCGGGAGCAGATGTTTCACAGGCTGGCACCGCTCAAGGCACTTGCCACCACTGCGGACCCCCCACCGTTGCCGAAAACAGCGGTGGAGGAACCTCCGCCCCTCCCACAGAGAGAGGCAAGACGGAGACGTGCAAAACCACCCCCTGCACCCCCGCGGAACTCCAGCCCGGAGTCAAACGGGAATATGGACGTGTCACCGTCCAGGGAGAGGGTGCACGACGGCGGCTGGGAATCACCAATCCCGTTAAGGGACCAGGGCACCCAGCCTAATGAAGAAGATGTCCACCTCGGTGTGCGTCCCTCAGAATTCAAGGACACGAAGTCCCTTCTGAGGAAGCACACCAGAATGGTGGACAAGATGATAACTGAACGCCTGGATAAGTTCTTCCAGGCGTTCACGGATCGGCAACTCCGCCCCGCCCTGGGGGCTAATCCCCAGAAACGGACGGAGGCACCCGATCAAGTGATGACGGGGAGCAGCAGCCAGGCCGCACGTAGTGTGACGACTGCAACCCCCATGCCCCCTACCCAGGAGACCGGGACGGCCGCGAAGGCCAAGAAAACGGGGGCGAAGAAGAAGAAGAAGGGCGCAAAGAAGAAGGACGAGGCCGGGCAACAGCCGGGGACCGGTACGGTGGCTAAGGCCACCCCCGGCCCTCCACGCAGAAGCCCAACGCACCCGCGACCTCCTCGCAGCCCTCCGATCCCACCACCTCACAGGACTCTTGGTCCCAGGTGGTGGGACGGAAGAAGAAGAAGTCCGCGCCACAAGGAACCTCCTTAAAACCGCCCAGCGGCCAAGGAGGCGACAAGGGACGGACTAAGGCAAAGGCGGGCGCGGCTAAAGCAACCGGCCCACCCAAGCCTAAGTTGGGAAGACCACCCCGCTCGGCGGCGGTGGTCCTGTCTGCCCCAGAGGGAGCCAAGAGCGACTTCCTGGGGGAGGTGCTACGGTACGTCCGGGAGAAAGTCCCCTTGGAGGGTCTTGGCATCCCGGACGTCCGTCCAAGAAGAGCCCTTACCGGGGCTCTCATTCTTGAGATCCCCGGGAGGGACAGCGACGCCAAGGCGGAGGAGCTTTACAAAGCTATCCTCCCCTTGGTGGTGAAAAAAGGAGGGAGACTCACGAGGCCGGTGAAGACGGTAGAACTTCGCGTGCGCGGCCTCGATGAGTCTATCTCTCAAGGTGAGGTACAAGAGGCGGTGGCGACCGTCTGGGGTTGTGCGGTGGCCGCGGTTAAAGTCGGTCAACCGCGCGCCTCCCCCGGCGGATTAAGCACCGCCTGGATACAGTGCCCCTTAGCTGCGGCACAAAAAGTTGTAGCAGCGGGGGCACTAAAGATAGGGTGGATAAGGGCACCGGTGGAGATATTGGAGAGGCGCCCTCTCCAATGCCACCGATGTCTCCGGCGCAGGCACGTAACAAATGCGTGCCCTCACACAGCGCCCGAAGAAGACAGACGCGGTCGCTGCTATAACTGCGGCGACCGCGGACACCGGGTGTCGACATGCACGTCGGCACCCAGGTGTCCGTTGTGCAGCGACCTTGGGCGACCCGCAAATCACCGCCTGGGGGGTAAGGCTTGTACCCCAACCCCCAGCAAGGGAAAGAAGAGGCGGGCGCCCAAGGCAGCAGGTCCCACGAGCGGCACTCAGCCCGCTCAAGGGACGGAGTCCCCCGCCGGCGAACAAGGTCCGCCGGCAATACAGGGGGAGGCCGTCTCTGCTACTGCGCAAGACGCAGTAACACAGAGCAGTGAGGGGATTGCACCCCCCTCCCCTCCTGCGAGTAGAGCCCTGGAGGAGGAAGCAATGGACATTGCATAATGTCCTTGCTCCTCCAGGGTAACCTCAATCACGCCCGCGAGGCACAGGACCTCATGGTCCACAGCCTCGTGGAGCTAGGGGGAACTCTCGCGGTGGTGGCCGAGCCCTACTCCATCCCGGACCACCCCTCGTGGACGGGATCGGAGGACGGCTTGGTCGCATTTTATTTTAGATGGGGGCCTCGACCGGAGGCAACCATCTTCTCCCCGTTAGAAAGGGGAGAAGGCTTCGCGGTAGTGCAATGGGGGGAACTCAACGTCGTCGGGTGCTACTTCTCGCCCACGAGACCCTTCCACGAGTTCGAGAGGTATTTGGACGGGCTGGAGCTCGTAATACACCGCTACCAGTTCCGTCCATTACTTGTCTTGGGGGACTTCAATGCCTGGTCCGAGGCTTGGGGTTCCCTCAGGACGGACGAGCGTGGAAGGGCTCTTGAAGACTGTGCGACGGCCTGCGGCCTCGCCGTTGTAAACGAGGGCACGCAACTCACGTGCGTTAGGCAGTTCGGGGGCTCGGTGGTTGATGTGACCTTCGCCTCCCCGTCTGCCGCTGCACGTGTGTCCGGGTGGAAAGTAAGGGATGACATGGAGACCCTGTCAGACCATCGCTATATAACGATGAGGGTCTCCGTGCTCCCTGACAACAACCCCCGGGGCCGTCGCGGGGCGAGAAGGAAGCCCCGCTCCCAAGGGTGGGTCCTTGAAAAGATGGACCCAGCTATTCTGTCCGCCGCTGTCCAGGTCGCGGCTTGGCCACGTCCACCGGCCGAGCCGCGTGACCTCCGGGCGGAGGTAAGGTGGTTCCGCAGAACGGTCACAAGACTTTGTGACGCGGCTATGCCACGTTCTCGCGGACCGCCTAACCGGAGGTCGGCGTATTGGTGGTCGGGGGAGATTGCGGACTTGAGAGCCGCAGCCATCCACGCCCGACATCAGTACGTCCACGCCCGTCGTCACCTACCGGGTGATGATGAGGCGACCGAGGCAGCGGAGGCTGCCTACGAGGTGTACCGCGCAGCGCGCAGGGCCCTCAAGGCAGCCATAAGGAAGGCGAAGTCCCGAGCGTGGGACGAGCTCCTCCAAACTGTTGACGGGGATCCATGGGGCCGTCCTTACCGTCTGGTGATGGACAAATTGCGCCCCTGGACACCGCCAGTTACGGAGCGTCTGGACCCCCAGCTCCTGGAGAGGGTGGTGTCGACCCTCTTCCCAGGCGGAGAGGGCGACTGGCCCTCCCGTGAGCCTGAGCTGGACCCCCCTGCTGGGTGGTCCAGTGACCTGGGGGTCACAGAGGAGGAGCTGAACCGGGCCATCCGTCGGATGATGGTTAAGAACACTGCGCCCGGTCCCGACGGAGTGCCCGGCAAAGTCCTGGGCTTCGCCTTCGGACGGGATAGTCCTTTGGGAGAGCGCCTCAGGCACATCCTCACGGAGTGCCTGAGGACAGGTTGGTTCCCCCCAAGTTGGAAGCAGGCCAGCCTGGTCTTGCTCCAGAAAGGTGGGCGGCCCGCGGACTCGCCATCCGCGTACCGGCCGATCTGTCTGCTCGACGAGGCGGGCAAGCTCTTAGAGCGCATAGTTGCCCACCGCCTCGTCGGGCACCTGTCACGGGTAGGTCCCGACCTGGCCGATTGCCAGTTCGGTTTCCGTGGGGGACGGTCAACCGTGGACGCGGTTATGCGTTTACGGTCCCTCACGGAGGCATCGGTCGGGCAGGGGAAGGGAGTTATGGCTGTGTCATTGGATATATCCAATGCCTTCAACTCCCTCCCCTGGGATTGCATAGGGCGGGCTCTGGAGTACCACAGAGTTCCGCCTTACATGAGTAGTCTCCTCGGGGACTACTTCCGTGGCAGGCAGATCCGGTATACGGGCCGGTACGGGTTGCCGCGTCATAGGAAGATGTGCCGCGGGGTCCCACAGGGGTCGGTGCTNGGCCCCCTNCTGTGGGACCTNGGGTACGACGCNNTGATCCGGGCCGCACTCCCCCCGGCGGTATCAGTCGTCTGCTATGCAGACGACACATTGATAGTGGCCGCGGGGGAGGAGAAGAAATGGTGCAGGACCAGGCAGTTGGCCGAAGTGTATACGGCATGCGTTGTCGACCGCATAGAGAGGCTGGGCCTCAAGGTGGCCGTCCATAAGACGGAAGCAATGTATTTTGCAGACCGTCGAAATGGGCGGCCCGAGGAGGAAGATCTCAGCCTCTCTGTAGGTGGGGCACGAATCGAGGTGAAGAAAACCATCAAGTACCTTGGACTTCACCTCGATCCGAAGTGGCGCTTCGACGTGCATTTTGCACGCTTGGCCCCCAGGGTTCGGCAAGTAGCAAGAGCGCTTTCGCGCATACAGCCGAACCTCGGGGGCCCGAGGTATAAAGTCCGGCGTCTCTACGCCAACGTCGTCCACTCGGTGGCCCTTTACGGGGCACCGCTGTGGGCGGTGGCCGCAGCGGGGGCTGGGGCGCGGAGCTCATTTCAGAGTCTCCGNGCCTCACAACGGGTAGCAGCCCTCCGCGTGGTAAGCGGCTACCGGACGTTGGCTTATGAGACGTCGGGCGTACTGGCGGGGATGCCTCCCTTGACCCTCCTGGCTGGGAAGTACTCGGCGAGATACTCTCGCCGGGTCGAACTCCAGCGGGAGGGTCTCGCAGATGACGAACTGCGGGAGGCCCTCGCGGAGTCGGAGCGCCAAGCCCGGCGACAACTGCTCCAAGAGTGGGAGCAGCTCCTGGCTGAGCCACAGGCGGACGGCCAGGAGGTCGTTCGGGCTATCCGACCCCATTTGGAAACGTGGTTGAACCACGGGGTCGGACGCCTCACCTATCGCGTGACACAGGTGCTCACCGGGCATAGCTGCTTCGGTGAGTACTTGTGTCGCATCAAACGCGAGTCGACAACGCATTGTCACGAGTGTGGGGCGGCCAGCGACACGGCGGATCACACCGTGGAACATTGTCCACGGTGGGATCAAGAACGCCGGGAGCTGGTCGCCCAAATTGGAGAGGACCTCTCCCTGAACGGGCTGTTGAAAGCCCTGTGTTCAGAGGAGAGGGAACAATGGGAGGCTGTGGTCTCCTTCTGCTCCACGGTGATGGANCAGAAGGAGACTGCAGAGCGGGAGCGTGAGAGGCTCCCAGGGGGACTCCGGGGGCGGGCACGAGCGGGTGGGGGGCCACCCGTTTCCCGTGTCTAACCCCGGGTCCAGGGAACCTCGCCAAATTAGGGCCCCGTCTCTCATCCCTACCGGAAGAGAGAGGGGACTATCCGGGGTGGTGGGCGTTGGGAGGAGCCGGCTCCTCTCGTTAGCCCACCACCTCCGGCGACATTGCGCTTGTGGCAGAAGCGCGGAGGAAAGATAAGCGGCGGCCGTTAGTCCCTGGGGTGGTACCGTCCACCTCAGGGGGGTGGTGTAGTAGCCGCCGCTGGACCGTGGTGAGCCGGAGTGGAGGCTCCGACTCACCCTGCACACGGTCAAAGACGGGGCGACGCTGCAGAGTGTGTCCTGCAGCGTCACCAAATAAAGGTGGTAATCACCGAAAGGTGAAGGGGAGAAGAGGAGTACAACTCCTCTCCTCCCAAGAAATGATGCCCCCAGGGGGGGACCCGCGTGCATGCTGATAAGGCGATCCCGGGTCCCTCCCTACAATGGGCAGAGTGGACACACCCCTGGGGTTTTAGTGGGTAAACCCTCCTTTTGAGGAGGGGAGTCCCACATAACCCTTACCTCCCCCCAGGTAAGGGTATCCATAAAGGATTTCCCCAGGGTAAAAAAAAAAA